CACAGCAGTTCCTTGCAGAACTCCAATGAAGTGCTGCCGTCCTTTCACCTGCTTCCCTATCATTCACCATTGCTTACCACTTTCAATCTAATTTAGCTAATCTACCATTAATTCCCTGAGTCTCAATCTCTTTTACACACTTTGCATGCAATAAACCTCAACAAATACTCATTGAAAGCCCAATCTGATCTGATTATATCCGCTAGATTGGACGTGTCAACCAATTTTGTTGCCTCCTTAAATAATTCTGGTCAGTTTTTGAGGTGCAACACATTGCTTCTAAATCTTTGCTGACTATTCCTTACAGTCTCTAAAATCTTTAGACGAATACCTGCAGCGCTGCATTAAATCCTCAAGTGTTTTACCCACGACTAATGCTTAGTTAACTCGTCTGCAGTACCTGCATACATGGCTCACTGCACTTTACTGAAAATTGGGATAATATAGACAGTTTTTATTTCTCAGGAGCTGACTCTGTTGTGGGAACTTAAATCTCATTTCTTAGCGCATTTACTATCAAATACGTCACGGCATTTGCATCACTGCAGTCTGTATAAAATGCGAGAAGGCAGAATTTTCCCTGTTTGTTTTTTGGTTAGCCGGGTGGGTGTCTGACACATGCGGAAACCCATCACCATGCTTAAGAGTATTCAAACCAAGCTGAGATTTCCATGTGCATCCCGCCTAGATTGTTGGAATGGAATGCACACTCTCTCCCTGGAGAGGTGCATCCTGCTTACCTAATTCCAGTACGTATTAGGCACAGGTTGGCAACAGCCAAGGCTTGGGGAACCCAGAGTGTTCGTTGGGGTACTGCTGGAGACTAAGCAGCTAAAACCGCTTAGCTTGACAAGTCCTGCCGATCAGCCAGGCCGGCTGTGCTGTCATCAGTAGTGCCCTGGAATACTGCGGACCCACCTGGCTCAAGAACCGGACTATCGAGACCGCCACAGAGGGCCGGTTCTAATCCGACATTCCATTGCCAGGCATGTCACCTTGGACAGTTCAGCTCCTAGGAGATCTCACTTGCCCTCACCCCCAGGAGGATAGTCACAATCTTCCCTGAAGACTGATGTGGAGAATGCAGATCATTTCTTGATCTTGTAATACATTTCAATTCACAAAGTTTCTGTGATGTGTAGTGACTGCAGATTTGCAGATGAATTTCAGAACAGAGCCATGAAGTGAGTGAACAATTTATCTGGGGGATTGCTAGCCACAACATCGAGAGAAATATGTATGTTTTGCCCAAAAATATACAGTCAATTTATTTCACAGTACATTCTGTGAAGCGGTTTGAGACGTCTCGAAGACATGATAAGGCATTATATCAAATGCAAGGATTATTATTATTATTATGAGTGAAAATATCTTTAGAGTTTTTGTTACCAAGTTCATAACCCTCCATTAAAAATGTAATTAAGATCGATTAACTGTTGTGGAAGTTTAAATCCTAGCCTTTTCTCGTTTTCTCTGATCCAGTGCCATCCACTGCTCCAACACAGATGAGATCAGAAGAAAACTGGTCACTGTTTACAATTGAGCCTGTGATCTGTACTGAGAAAATGAAAGACTTCCAGAGGGAGAAAAACTCTTAAGAGCATAAGAACCGCTGGACGAAAGAAGACCAAGGTTCATCTAGTTAGCCTCCACTACCCTGACAGTATATTCTATTCCACGATATTATTTTATAAAAAGAAATCTACCTAATTTGCTTATGAAAGATTCGACAGTTTCTGCTTCCACCATCTCCCCAGGGAGCCTGTTCCTTACACTTACTACTCGCTCGCTGAAATAATGTTTCCGCTGATTTGTTTCTGCAAATCATCAGCAATAAGAATGTTACACAATACGATGACTGAGGAAAGGACTGTATGGTTAATGAAGTGGACTGTTGCCTGAGGAATGGGGAGACCACTGGGTTAAATAAGTGACTCCATTCCTACGACCCGCTGATGGAAATCTCTAACTGGTTACCTGGTCTTAAAGAGCAGACAGCAAGTGATGCGAGGGCTTATTGGAAATGACAAGTCAGTGTGTGAGATGGCGGACTATGCACTCTGACGGCCTAATTTAAATTGCTTTTGCGTTTGATGCTCCTTGACATTTTAATTTTCATCTTTTGTTGCGTTTAGGGTGTTTCCATAGACCTGTAATCTTATTACTCCTCATTCCCGCTGAAAGAGAATGATTAATCAGTTACAGGGGGGATATAGAGAGATTGAATCTCGCTCTCCCAGAGCCGGGAGTTTATCTTTATTCACGTTAAAAGGCTGCTGCTCTTGTCGGGATGGGACAGACTGTGGCAATGGTGTCAACACTGTTTTAATTGAGCCTCCTCTCACTGCTTCGCGATGCAAGTGTCCCATGTGAAAGGATGCCATGTATTCTCGGCACAGTTCATGATGGACAGGGATTTACAGGGTAGAAAATATCCTTAATTCATTGTTCAATTGCCAGTTGCACTTAGAGGAGTCATGGGTTGGCTGGGGAGAACCATTGGAAAGGTCACATTGATCAGTGGAGGAGGAGAGAGAGGAGGACAATCTTTATATTTGGTGCAGCGCCTTATCCCGTCAGAAGGCTACCTCAAAGCGCTTCACAGGAACCGCTGTGAAAATGGAGTGACTGTGTGTATTTGTGGTCAAACGTGGCAGCACAATTGCGTGCAGCAATGTCCCACAAACGGTCGTGGAGCGAGTGACCAATTTTATTTGGGGAATTGTTGGCCATTGTTGAATCAGGTCGTGGAGGTAAGGAGGGGAGGAGACCCTGGCGGGAGTTGAAGATGTGGAAACGTAAAGGCGCAAACGGAAATGCAGGATGTCTGTGTGTCCACCTGGATTGGATGAGGAGGAAATCAGAGAGATCTTTGAGAGAATAATGCACCAAGCGAGTTAGCAACACTGGCTGGTGGCCCTATATGGCAGACATTGCCTGGGTCAGTACAGTCTCTATCATCTGCCAAGTTGATCCACAAGGATGGATTCAACTGGTCGGGACCCAGATGGTATGGAACATATGGTGCAGAAGAGCAATTACACTGGATAATTACCACATAATTAATTCTTAAAAGTTCCTCCTCGGTCTCCAAGCAGATTCATCTCCGGGCCTCAAAATAATGTTCCCTTGATTTATTTTCTTTAAAACAAACCACAAAAGAATTTTCCTATTCCTCAGAACTTCCTTTCAGATCCTCTGAACAGACCGGTCTTGTGTTTTCGCTGTGTCTTACTGAGGCAAGTTGTACGTTGATCACTTGGTATACAAGCACAAACACAGTGTCTCGGAGGTAATCACCTCAGTTACATCCTGACAGAAATGCACGGCGTGATTTATATCTCCCATTTTTCAGAGGCCCAGCTGGCAAATCGTTACTCTAGACTGATAATTCAACCCAACTCAACTCACCTCAACCCACCGATGGAGTTGCACTCACGACTCGATTCAAAGGGAACTGAATATCTCAAAGGCAAATAATACTTTTAAATCAGAACCTGGCTTTGAGTCATTTGGATTGGAACTGAGAGGAGGGAACATTGGACACAGAGAGAGAGAAACAGGGAGGGGATAGTAGCATAGACATATTTAAGGGGAAGCTCGATAGGTACATGAGGGAGAAAGGAATAGAAGGTTATGCTTGAAGGCTTAGTTGAGGAAGGGCAGGAGGAGGCTCATGTGGAGCATAAACACCAGCCTAGACCAGTTTCTGTGCTGTATATTCTAATGTGTTCTAATGTATTTTAATGTATAATAATAATCCTTGCATTTGATATAGTGCCTTACCAAGTCTTCAAGACATCTGAAAGCGCTTCACAAGACATACTGTAAAGTAGAATTGACTGTATATTTGTGGAGATACAATTTAATGTACAATATTTAGAACAGGAGTCACAAACAACACCTCCTGCACATAACTGTCCTGCCATCATGCGGGCACTCTCCTCAACTGCAATAAATTGCATTTATAATCCTCCCACACAATCTACTCCCTCCCCCCACATGATGCACACTCAGTTACTGGCTGTGTGACCTGCAAGTTGATAGTTCCCACTATTGTATTTTAAGACACCAGTATTTTGGAATATGAATAGACACTCACAACACTAAGTAGATACCAAACACTGAATGTGCGTATGCAATACTGTATATATTTATACTGGTTGAATCAGAAGTCTTTACTCATGCAGTTTTTTGTAAAAGACAACATCGAGAGTGTGTAGCTATTACAATACATTGTGAAAGTTTTGTCACCAGTTAATATGTGTAAACATCTACATGCCATGCAGTTTGAACAACTCATATAGACCTATAATTAAGGATTCATCCTGCTGAGAAGCACTCCACCCAAATAATATTCTCGTGTGAATAATGATAAAACTTGAGACACCTTAATAATAATAATAATCCTTGCATTTCATTTGGCACCTTATCACGTCATTGAGACGTCTCAAACCGCTTCACAGAATATATTGTAAAGTGAACTGACCGTATATTTTGTGGACGCAATGCGGCAGCCAACTGCGTACAGCAGTGTCCCACAAACAGTCATGGATTGAGTGAACAAATTATGATGATTACTTTTTTTTTAAAAAAAAGGGATTATTACCCCGGAAAAAGCCATCTGCCAATCTACTAACAACCGGGTTCCTATTTACTGCTAGGTGAACACAGGCATGTGGAGTAAGGAAACTTGCCTAAGGTTTCGCCCCATCAGGGAATCTCGCTTGAGAGGTGAGCACGCTAACCACTATGCCAAGGGACTCCACATGAAGAATGGTGCTTCGATCCATCTGATCTCATCCCCCCAGAACACCCACCTTACTGTACCCCCATCGCTGCAGTACATCACACCAATGTCTCACAAACAGTCGTAGATTGATTGACCAAATTGTTAAAAAAAAAAATTGGCAGACAAATGTTAAGCCGTACTATGATAGACAGGCCAATGTGACTCTGAGGCAATGCCGCTCAGAGTAGGTGTTGTTCTGGCTGCTTACCTGATCTCAACTGCATCTTCCATCACCGTCATGTCTGTCTTGCACTTTGCCGATGGATTAATGGCAAGTTCCGCCGGGGGAATGACAAAGCTTTTACTGAGCGGCAGCCACATTCCTTCCCCCAGAGTGTAGGTGAACCTGGAAAACACAAGAATAGCACAAATGATCAGGAAACACAATGCTCCAAATCCCAAACAAAAACCTTTCACGGCTAATGTCAATATCGTCCAATATACAACAACTTGCATTTATAAGGCGTCTTTCATGTTGGGAGAAGTCCAAAAGCACTGGACAGTGAAGGGTTTGCACCCGAGTTGGGGGCTGAAGTCACAAAGAGGGGAAAGGAGAATGGCGATACGACGATGACCGAAGGCACGGTCGAAGTGGAAGTTCTTGAGATGGGCCTTTGAAGTAGACAAGGGAGGGTTGAGGCGGAGGGGCTCCGGGATGGAGATCCAGAGGGTGGGGGCAGAAAGGCTGAAGGTCCAACTGCCAACGGTGGAGGGGGCAGAGCAGGGAGGACATGTAGCAGGCCTGTGTCTGCCGAGCGGAGGGAGTGGACAGGTTGGTAAAGTTTTAGTCAGTTGCAGAGGGACATATAGTTATGTTGCAGATATAGTAGCACAGGAACAGGAGCAATGCCATTCATGCCATTGAGAATTAGATCATAGTGGATTACTTTCCATGCCTTTTCTCCACATTTCTCCCCAGGTACCTATCTCCCTATTAAGCCTCCCAGTCTACTTTTTGTCCACGATCCGTCTTCTGAGACACCGAGCACCACATTTTTTGACACTCTCATCTCACAACTGAGCGGCTGAGCTAGAATTTCAAGACCCTAAGAGAAGGGCACTGTATACAGTAAATGAAAGTTGTTGTGTAATATTACTAGCGGCTTTCATTTGCTGTCTCATAACCAGCTGAACTAATAACTTACATTGCTTGAATCCACGGGGTAGGAGATGGAAGCATTTCCCCTCACACAGTACGCTAGTCAATTATAGCAGCAAATTTTAATTTATCAATAATGCGACATGTTTTGACAGCAGTAAGTGGATTGGGTTACGATGATGCGGTGAACTGTGCAGATTGGAAACACATTGAATGTATCCTCTCCAAATTCCTCAAACTTCCCACACTTTGCATCCTCACAGGAAACTAAACAATCGCACAACCTCCTACTCGGATTCACTCCTCTCCCAGGAACTCAAATCTGCCAAACTCGGTCCTTCCACCTTGTCGAAATTCAATCATGCCCAAGTTCCTAGGCTTCATTCTGAAGCCAGCTTTCCGCAGTTCTTAAAGAGAATTAGCTTCTCCATCCAGTCCCAATGTCTGTACAGTAAATAGCTGGCTGATCGTTCTTTCCTCTGCGTAAGACGTGTTCATGGAAATTAAAGTCTGCCTTCCTTAATGTCAGCCTGGCGCAGTGGTAGCACTCTCGCCTCTCAGTCAGAAGGTGTGACTGTGTATTTTGTGGATGAAATATCTCCCAAGTCAATCAGCTCCTGGGACATGCTTCATTTCCTGTGGGAAGTAATTCTGAAGGCTCTTGCTAATCTTCCCCAAACCATCTCCGCAGCCACTGGACTGCTTTCCCATCAATCTCCCCGGCTTCCTCTGGAAACCGTTCCCCAGGCTCAGGCTAATCTCAATATTCATGTGTAAAGACACTTAATAATCTGCCGATGATCCCCTTATCACTTCACTGAAGCCAGTCACCAGGATTCGGTCATCAGGCTTCGAGATGCATCAGTGAAGTCACTTGAAAAGACCTCTATCCATCTCCTTGACACTTTGCTGAAATCACTCAACGGGCTTCAGATACCTTCAGGAATTGAGATGACAGCTTCCATCTCCATCTGCCTGCTTCCCCCCAGAAGATGATCAATCTCTCCCCTAACTTCCCGAAGCCACTTCAGTGTCAGATTGGCTGGACCCCTTCTGAAGACAGTCAATGTGCGACCGTCAGGCTGGCCAATGCTTTTAATAACAATTTCACTTTGCACCTTTCACATCAGGATTTTTTTTGGGGTCAGCCGGGTGTCTGATACATGCGGAAACCCAGCACCATACTTAAGAGTATCCAAACCATGCTGATAATTCCACGCGTCCCATCTATACATGGAAATCCCACAGATAGATTGTTTGAATGGAATGAGCACTCTCTCCCTGGGGCGACGGATCCTATTTACCTATTTCTGGAAACTCTTAGGCGCAGGTTAACAAGAGCCAAGGCTTGGGGAACGCAGAGTGTGTGCTGGGGTAACTGCTGGAGTCTATCCAGCTAAAGCAGCATAGCTTGCCATTGATATCGCTGTGTGGCAAGCTTTTCCGCTGCTTGTCCAGCTAGGACCACCCTACCCGTTAGGGCATTGGCTTGGAGGGTTAACAGGAGCTGAATGGGAGGACTCCCAACCCCAGTGACTGGTCCCAATCTGCGCGACGTGTTACTGAAGCCATTTCGCTGGGCCTTTGCCAGTCTCCCTGCACTGTTACTCAGTGGAATCCTGACATCTGATTTATTGCAGCTACTAAACCAGTTTATTTTAAAAATCACCATGGAGCTGACCTTCAGCTGAACCCTCAAAGAATCGCTTCATAATCTTTGTCGTTATCCAAGTGAGGATTTGTTAGCTGATGCAACCTGCATCGTGACTGTCGTCAGATACGATGTGAGGAGTTGACATTTCTCCTTTGGCAATGCACAGAGTGTGCAGGAGGCCACAGTTCTCCCACTCTCCGCATCCTTTTGCTTACTAACAAGCTGGTTTCTTGATATATTTAGCAGAAGGTTTTCCCACCATTAACAACAGCAAAAAAAAAAGCTTAGCTGAAAGTTATTGCCATTTGTGTCAGCTTGGCTCAGTGGTAGCTCTCTTGCCTCTGAGTCAAAAGGTTGTAGGTTCAAGGCCCAAGTCGGGGCTTGGAATTACATTGTCTAAGCTGACACTCCAACGCAGTGCTGAGGGGGGGGGAGGGGGTGGGGGGGCGTGTTGTATTGTCAGAGATGCCATTCTTCATATGAGACGTTAAACTGAGGTCCCGCCTGCCTATTCAGGTGGATGTTAAAGATCCCATAGCATTATATTAAAACGAAGGGAGTTTCTCCTGTCGTCCTGGCCAACAAATCCCCCAAATAAAATTGGTTCCTCACTCTACGGCTGTTTGTGAGACATTACTGTGCGCAAAACTGGCTGCCGCATTTGCCCACAAAATGCAGAGTCACTCCACTTGGCAGTTTATTCTGTGAAGCGCTTTGAGACGTCTTGAGGATGCGATAAGGTGCTACATCAAATGCAAGGATTATTATCATTTATTCTTTACAGCCATTGCAATTTAATCAAATGGTACACCGAAAACCATAACTCACTAACTAGCCATGGAGTCTCTCTAACTAAAGAGGAAAACAAAAAGCAACTTGCTAACGGCCTTCTTCTCCAGTCCTTCACCCTCTGTCTCACTCAGTCTCTAAACCTTCACGTCTGTGTCTCTCGGTCTCCAGTCCTTCAGGCAGTCAGTGAGGCCAAAAGACTAAAGTTATTGCGATATGGTATTGTCAACCAGAGAGAAAGATTGTTTGAGTGGAGTTTCTCCCGTTTATCTGATCTGTTCACTCGTACTGTACAATGTTAGCGACAGAGCACACAGCATAGAGAGAGAGAGAGATAGACAGCCAGTCTCATACCGTCCTACCTAACCAATGGAACCAATATTGTGCGAGGGTTAGTGCGTGCAGTGAGACAATTTCACATATTATGTTGTTACCTTTGAGATACGTGATTAACAGCTCTACTGAAATTAACACTTAAGTCATTCACGACAGAGAGTCAGGAGAATACAAGAACATAGCGGGCAGAGCACCGTCAGGCTTTGAGATTTAATTGAGAGAAGACAGTTATTTCTGGAACCTGTAATTGTGATTTATGTCCTAATCTGCGATGGCGTGGCTGTCACCTTTCATTCGCATTGATCTCCCCATCTGCGGAGATAACAAGCTTTCGTTCTGATCGCTGTGAATGGGGCTGGGGTCGGGAGGTGGCATTTGTCTTCCAGCAACTGCATTAAATAGTCACCGAGGGACTGACTGAGAGCACCTATTTACCTGCACGGTGGTAAATCACACACAGAGTAAGGAAGGACCATGGTAAAAGAGACAACTTGGCACCTGATAGTCCCTCGCTGGAGTAATTTTAGTCTCAAATTAGCATGTTTATCAGTCTTCTCTCTGTCACCGCGACTGCCATTTCAAATAGCATGAAATCCTGCGAGACACATTAAAAGGTAATAAGATAGACTACCGAGCTACGGAGGAGTGCAGAAAATTAACCTGCTACTGCAGTTTATCAGACTGAGAACTATCTGCTCACTGCATGAGAGAGGGTCTCACACTGACCCACAGCACATCAGACTGAGCACTGTATCCTTCCAGAATACCCATCCGACCATCCTACCATCACAGCATAAAACCAAAGCTTTCATAGGAACGTAGGAATAGGAGTCGGCCATTCAGCCCCTTGAGCCTGTTCTGCCATTCTATTAGATCATGGCTGATCAATATCTCAACTCCAATTACAACAACAACAACTTGCACTGATATAGAGCTCTCCAGGCAGGGTAGCATCTCAAAGAACTTTGCCCAGTATCCATCGATACCCTTACCTAACAAAAATCTATCCACCTCAATCATGAAAATTTTAAGGGATCCAACATCCACAGCCTGTTTGTCCTACTGTTTATCCAGCTAGGACTACCCCACCGGTTTGGCTTGCAATTGTTCGCAGGAGTGTCCCACGAACAGTCACAGATTGAGTGACCAAATTGTTTTTTGAAAGGTCTAATACCTCCACCAATCGACTAACAGCCGGGTTCCGACTTACTGCTCAGTTAACAGAGACGTGTGGAAGAAGAGAACTTGCCTCAGGTTTCGCCCAGCCCAGAAATCAAACCCAGATCCTCTCGCTTGCGAGGTTATTGCGCCAACCACTAAGCTACGGGACTCCATGTTAAACACTGGGTCGGGGTTGCAGAGCCAAGCCAATTAACAGGACCATTGAAGTACAGGGAAGTCGACGAAAATGGAAAATGGAACCACAGCGAGTAGCACAACTTTTAGCAATTTCTTTGAAATATAGACT